ACTACATAATACCATTTTTCAAAATGGGCACTTTACGCCAGCCTTGCCTCAACTTTCATGCCTATGTACACATCGACAACTTATGTACTGGGTTTTAAAAAATTCTAAAAAAATTTGTGCAATGATTTGTTTGCCTACAGGGATGCATCTAACCCAAACAAGCGACAACACCATTCGACCACCACTGCAGTCCGATTTCCACGCGGCAATCATTTATTTTGCCGCTTGACCACTAGTACATCATCAATTTGTTATTTTGATTATTTCATTTACAAAATTTTTCAATTTGAATACGTAATTATTTATTGTGTTAGACTTTCGTGGTTATTGTAGTTGTTCCGTGCTCACCCCACATGCTTGGTTCTATTGTGTTTTTGTAAAGTGCATGTTAGCCCTTTTTTGTTTTTCACATGAATCTGATCTCCTTTGGGCGATTAACCCATCCCTGCTGTCAAATGAATTCCTATTCCTTTCTTCCCTTTAATGATTTCACTTGAAATCTTTATTTTCTCGGAATACTAGTTTAACCGGAATGAGAGAGTGAAAGTGGTAGCGTAAAGTGCCCCACGAGCGGGCGTTAAAATTAGCTGTTAATGCGTTAAAATTAGCTGTTAATGTGTGCACATTATTCTCACCCTTCAGGCGCCGCAGTTCATCCAGCTCTCCTGTTATATTTATTGTGACAGTTCATTTTTCATTTCGTGTCTGTGAATTTGTCAAAATCGTCGTAACAAATGTTTACGGCCGGATTATCTCATAATTAAAGCAGACCACACAAATTCCTGGAATTTCTTGAAAGATTACTATTGTTCAATATAAACAAATGATGATCCTAGTCGAGGCATTGGCATATTGAAGTATGTATATAGTTCGTTATTAAGTAAGTAATTACATATTCGATCGTTGATTTCTGTGGAAGTACTTATGCAGTAAATGATACAGATTCAAAGGCCATGGATATGCTGAAGACCAATAAAACATCAAAATTGAGGACGAAGTGCAGCAAGTCGGCATTCTATGTTCTACACATCCTTAAAACCGGGTTATACCAAAGTGTCAGTATAGTGTCTGTTATCTCAGCCTTGCTAGTGAAAGAGCGAGATCCCAAGAGCTCGCGTCACCTTGAAAGGCAGTCTGCACAATTTGACAAATGAAATGATGAATCGATTCCTTCTTTCCTTCACCGCAAAAAGCTGGTTGGTTTACGCCATTTTTGAAGCGTTGATGCCATTGTTCAGTGACCTTGTACAATAACGACCTTAAGAATTCACAGAGAGTTGTCCGCCTCGCTGGTCGACATTTGCGAGATTTGTCTAGCCATCTCATTAGCTATTTCATTTCATTCGACACTGCTATTTCCAGCATTCCGAAATATATGTAGATACGTTGACGTGATGATATCGATGTGGAACATTTACTAACAATTCTTGACTTCACTACTTTGCTCCTCTTGATTTTATTTAGTGACCTTTCTCCCAAACGGATTTGCTATTTGGTATTAGACAGCCTCTATATAATTCAAGAGTGAGCTCTCCATTGACAAATCTATAAGCCGCCATCATCGAGCAGTAATTTGCTTCCATTGAGATCCGGGGTAGCATTCTTTGTCATAAAGGACAGTAAATTTATGGGCCTACACATCCGATGCCCACACTTCGAAAGGGGAAGACATTTCAGTGGATACTCCTCTGTCATCCCCATACTTTTACAGATGCACCGAACCTAGCAAATCTTGATCATCGTTCGAAATACTGTGCGAATCAAGGGAATCGAGTGGAATCGGCCTCAGTAGATTGTAATGTCAAATGTGCGCAACCACAGTTAGATGCAAGTTTTTATCTAGGTTGCGCAAGCTACACCTTTTCTTTGAGTGCAGTTTATAAATAAAACAGACGGATGCTTTATATTTTGATCTTTTGGAATGCACCAACTTTCTATTTTGTGCAGAAAAGTCTGATTTTCGTGAGCCCAGCAAAGACAGAACTTATCTTATTTACAAACTGACACAAAATACCACAATTTAAACTACCGTCGCTAAACGGCGATATACTCTCTTTATCACCCAGCGCAAAGTATCTTAGAGTCGTGCTGGATAGCTAATTTAATTGGAAAATCAATGTCGAATTCCGTAGACAGAAGGCCTACATAGGATACTACACTTGCAAGAGAATCCTCAGCAGAAACTGGGCACTAAAAGCTAAACTTGTGATGTGGATGTATACCGCGATCCTGCCCGGCAATAGCGCTAAATGCTATCCCCAATTTAGTCCCTACTGATCACCACCTGAAAGAAGTGGCTATGAAATCGGCGGTCAGACTCAAAGAGTCTGGCCTTTGGAAGACTAGACACTTCGGACATGGGTTGATCATAAATCAAATGCAATTAATTAGGATGACAGACTATATGGTAGGCAATTTGGACTTCAGCTGTAATGTGCAAGTGTTATTCCTATCCAGAAGGGACTGTAGAAGAGACCGAGTGGCCGACCAAGAAGCGTTCTCTCTATACACCGACGGATCCAAGATGGATTGCGATTAAAGAGCGGAAGTCTACTCGGAGGAACTCGCTGTGGCTCTGTCTCTATGATTCGGAAATGATACAAGCATCTTCCAAGCGGAAGTTATAGGTAACCTAGAAGCCTGTAAAATCCTAGGCAATATAGCTGGGTACAAGAGTAAAGCAACAATATATTTTGACAGCCATGCGGCGCTATTGGCAATAGCGTCACCGGTTACCAAGTCCAAGCTTGTTAGGGAATGCAAAGTGATATCGAGCTCAGTGTCTCAGTGAACTAGCGTCTCTGTTGCCAACCAACCAACCTGATTTCCGGCAAATTCAGATGTATCGGCGTGGGGAAGCGTTACGAATTCGTTAAGTAAGATCGAAAGACTTTCACTTTGTTCAGAAAAGTCAGATTTCCTATAAATTCGCATGCATTGCATTTAGTGGAATAGATACCATTTTATCCAAGACAGACAAAGGGAGTGAAATCTCAAACTTTCAAATTCATGTACATAGTAAAACAATATCGATATTCATAATCGGCGAAGGATTTTGAAGAAGAAAATTTATATAATTACCATCGTCAAGTAACGCCTTCTTCACATAGTAATTACCAGCAATCATCCTCCATTACCATGTAAATTAGCGACTTTTCGCAAATCACCACTTGACCACCACTGCCAGACTACACTTCCTCACAGTTGGACAACCACAAGTCTCAAGCAGCCCGTATTAAAGAACTGCACAGGCGCATGCGCACAAAACTCAAATAATAACAGGTAGCACTGAGACGCTGCAAGTGGCAGAAAAACAAAAGAAAATTAAAACAGCAAACACACAAGTGTTAAGACAAAACCAAACACTTGAAACGCGCAACGGCTAACAGAGACATCACGCAGCAGCAGCAGCCGCACCAGCTTTTAACGGCAAATAACTGCAGTCAAACAACAACAAATGCGACTCTCGCCGGAACGACGATGGCAGCAGTGTTGCCGTTTTAGCCCTTTGGTGGCTAAATTTGGCTACCAAATTCTTTTTTTGGCCACAAAAATTTGAAATTGCCCCTAGCCCTTTTTTTAGCCCTTTTCATTTCATCATTGACATTATTCATCATTGACATTAACATTTTTTTTATGATTTTCATGAATTTAACTCTTCGCTCATAAATTTTTGATTCTTTATTTTAAATCTTAATCCAACACATTTGGATACACAACATTTTTTGTTTTTCCATCTTGGGTATGAATAAATAAACAATTTGGAAAGCCAACTCTTGCACAGGCCACGTATAGCTACCAATTCCAGTAATCTACCACAAATATTTCAAGAGATATACCAGATGAAAATTTTTGTTAGTATGGGTGGTGCCACGCCCCCTTTTCCGAATTCGGGGAAACCTAACACAAACCATCTGCATAATAGCCCGACTATGCCGTATAAATTTGGTTGAAATCTTGCACTTATTCATTATATATAAGATGGGAGGTGCCACACTCTCCTTTCCAATACCGCCCATTTTTATCCATGAGTATGGAATTATTTGTTATACCTCTATACCAACTTCCAGTACTCTACCACAAATATTTCAAGAGATATACAACAAAAAAAATTTTTAGTTAGTATGGAAGGTGCCACACCCCCTTTTTCGAATTCGGGAAAATTTCACATAAACCATCTGCATGATAGCCTAAATATGCCGTATAAATTTGGTTGAATTCGGTGAAGCCGTTCGCAAGTTATAAGCTCACACCAAAACCGTGTACTTATTTGTATACATAAGATACATACATATGCCACGCCCCTTTTCCAAATTTGGGCAAACTCCGCATAAAATATCTGCATGATGGCCCGAATATGCCGCATAAATTTGGTTGACTTCGGTGAAGCCGTTCTTAAGTTATATTGTCACACCAAAAACGTGCACTTATTTTTATTTATAAGATGTAGGTAAAAAAATTTAGCTACCATTTTTAGCCACAACGACGATTTTTAGCTCTTTTTTAGCCCTTTTTTAGCCCTTTTTTAGCTGAAATTTAGCTACCACTAAAAACGTTTCGCGGCAACACTGGATGGCAGTTAGAATTGGCAAATATTTACCTGTCAACATGCCATGACGACGAGGCGTATAGTGGCATGCAACAACAACAATAGCTTGTGTCCAGTAGCTACGCATGCGCAGACAGACAGCAGACAGTCTTTCTACAAGTACGAGTACTTGGCCACATCACAAGCGGCCAGGTTGTTATGAAGGCAATAATGCCTAGGGATGAAACGATACGAGTAAATACAAGTACATACTCGATACTTTTCGTTCGATACCAAGTAATTTTAGCATCGATACTTTTGAACCAAGTACTGAGTAGGTATCGAAAAAAAGTACTCGTATCGAAACCCGATACCAAGCTAAATTTTGCTCCAAAATTGTTTCCTCTATTTTTATGCCTCATATGAATCGTTCATTCTTGACATAAAAACACGCTGGAATTCATTATATTACATGCTAGAACGTTTTCTGGACATGTTCAAACTTGCATCTGCACTGACACTTGATTCAACAGATAGTCCGGAGATGTTAACGGGCCAAGAAATTGAAGCGATCAAGAAAATTGTTCAGCTATTAAAACCTTTCGAATTCGTGACTAAAGAAGCTTCTGGACAGAATTACGTAACATTATCTAAAATTATACCAATGGTGAGCTGCCTTATATCTGAGGTGCGTAAATTTTCCACATCCATTGAATGCGTCATCCAGCTTCAATCAAAACTCATGGCAGAGTGTAATAAAAGATTTGGTCTTATCGAGTACAACACATATGCAGCTTTCGGTACAATTCTTGACCCAAGGTTTAAAAATCTTCACTTCCAAGATGCCAACGCTTGCGGTAGGGCTATACAAAAATTGAAAAGTATTATAGAGGTAGATGTGTCAACAAGCTCAGAAGAGGAAGAAGTAGCCAAGGATGACTTCGACTTCTGGCAACAGCTCGCCGTCGGTCAAAGAAAAAAAAGGTCTACAAAAGGTGACGAAGTGTCCTTATATTTATCCAGCCCAGTATCTTGCCTGAAGTCGAACCCATTAGAAGAATGGGAGGAGCTAAAAACTGCGTTTCCTTTGTTGTATAAACAAGCACGATCATATTTACATATAGTTGCAACATCTGTTCCTTGCGAACGATTGTTTTCGAAAGCAGGAGCAACAATAACCACGTCAAGAAATAGGTTGACTGGCAAACATTTGGAAAAACTTCTATTCTTGGGAAGTACAACAAAAGAATACTTTTTTCGCTGAAATATTTTATTACTAATGTTTTCTTATGTTTTCTTGAATAACATTAACTTGTAATCTTTTTCAATGTATATGTATCAGTGTAAATGCCATTCATCATTAAACATATAGTTCTGTTATGTAACGGAGTTTTATTTATTTTCCGTTCCTACATTATTAAATTTTATTATTCGGAGTTTGGGATTCCCGGACTATGATTAACTTGTGATTTAAAAAAATAAATTTAACTTAATACGGAATACACAATGAGTACCGATACGAGTAGGTATCGATACTTTAGGTCCGATATTTTTCAGGCATCGATACTTTTTTTCGATACTACTTCCAAGTAAAAGTATCGATACCTGCATGGTATCGTTTCATCCCTAATAATGCCGACGATGATGCCGAGAGACTGCTTATATGGCTGATGGTTGAGGCTGTTGCCTGGCAGGTACACGTCGTTGGTTTTTGTTGGTTGTGTAGATATTTACTATCTTGACTTTAGGCTACTTGTTAGCCACTAAGTAGGCGTTAAATGCCAACTAAGCTTTTCGAGTACTTGTTTCACATCAAATTACTACAATTCCCAAACAAATTTTGTTTTAAGGGACATTAGTGCCGGTGCTTAGGCAACTATACTTACATTCATACTTATGCGAATGCGGAAATTTTTTAATAATTGTTTTTGTTGGTTTATGTGTTTGTTTCCGTTAGAGCAAAGCAAAATGAAGGCATTCAAATTGTGGATGGATGTTAGAGATTTAAATGTACGCAAGTGGTTTTGTGGTCGGCTCGATCGCTTGAGTTGGGCGTCGAGTGTTTTTTCTGTCACGTGTTGTCATGCAGTGCGCGTCGCCTCAAGTGCCGTTTCCGTTCGCACAATGTCGCTCACTTACATGCATACATCATTGGCTGTTTGCGAATATTAGGTTTGTTCGTCGAAAATCCAGCAAGAATTATCCAACACTCAAAATATCAGAGAGTAAGAAAAAATTCTCTCAAATTCTCTCTCATGTTGAGAAACTTGCAAATTTCTGCACGAACGCAAATTTGCAAGTTTCCCTGCCAGCTGGCGTCCTCGGTTGCATTTCAAACATAAAAAATTTTTTAGAATTTTTAAAATTCTTTCGGATGGCTAAAAACAGGATACACATGTATATTTCTTGTTGTTCAGACTTTCTTTAACATACATTTCAATTTCTTCATCGTACTAGCTGTCGGGTTTCTTAAATCGACTCTGGTTGCAATTGCATTCTGATTGCGAATACCATTTTTTTCAGCCGAATTTAATTCAAATCATTGGAATTAACTAAATTAATTATATCAACAATTATTTACTTCCTTTTTTCATAAAAAAATCGCTCGTGTTTATAAATTGTTGAATTTAACGAACTAATTTATTCAAATTATTGTAGACAAAAATGCAACCATGCGCCACAACCACATGTTTTTCGTGTTTGCAAATTCTTGCTGGCAAAATTTTTTCCAGCAAGAATTTGCAACTTCTCTCCAAGAGAACTGTCACTTTGCTCTCACAATTTTTGAGTGTTGGATAATTTTTTGGTCTGCTCGAACGCGATTTGGGCAAAAACCGTGATAATTCGTACAAATTCGTACAAATTTTTTGCTCGACGAACAAACCTATTGTAGCGTTGACAGCGCGCTTTGCTAGCGGGTGGGTAACATGGTTACCACTCGCCAACATTTTTTTCTACCAAAATCTCTTAAGAAAAGTTACCAAAAGTTACCAAATCTTCAATACCAAAATCTTCACTTCTTCACTGAGAAAAAAATATACTGAATAAAACTGCTATATTTCATAACAAATGTGTATATACTTACAGCCCGATTCTGTGCACTTAATAAATTAAATATTTTTATATATTCTCAATTTTCGATTATTATTATTATTAGAAAATATTTTTCTATCAATTAATTACTGCATGGGCCGATATTCTCGTTTTCGTTGTTGGTGTTTCCGACACGGTAGGAGTATGATGTAATATGGAACGATTTTTCGTCATCTTTTGGCAAATTAGGTTTGGAGACAAACCGGTTTCGGCGTTGTGCCATCTTCAGTGCCATTTTTCGTTCGGAATGTGCCGATATTTGAACCTGCGACTCACGGAATAATAGCACCGGCATACAAGAAAAGTGGCGGGTGCTTTTAACCGAAATTTCGAGCTATTTTTTCGGTTTTTTCATAATTTACTGTACGTGTCAAACGGATCTCAGATTCGGATTCTGTGGGTCGAAATACATGTCGGTAGGTGTTACTGGTAAAAAGCACGCGACATTTTTTTGTTTTGTGCCGGAATAATCAAATCGATTTGTGGACCTTACCAAAAATTTCCAGATAGCCGAATTTTTATACCTTTGGTACTGTAGAATTCAAAATGTATCGCAAACATTTGAGAGTTGTTTCAGAAGTGCAGCCCGTAGTGCTGCCACTGTAATTCAAATATTTCCAGTATTCGAATATGAGATGACTCTAATTTTATCGAAGTAAGTTTGTAGAAGTGTCAGTAGTGCTGCCACTGAAACGCGAAGGGTTTTTATAATTACGCACAGGCAAAACATAATTCATTTCTTTCTAGTAATGCAAATAGACATTTGGTTGCGAAAGTTACCAAAATAAAATAAAAGTTACCAAGTTACCAAATCGTTTAAAAGTTACCAATTTTGGTAGAAAGTTACCAATTCTGGCAACCATGGTGGGTAGTGGGCTGTTGAAGTGTGGTTGCGATTGATGAAAAATTCGCTGACGTTTTGTGGGAAAATCATAGTGCGTGAAATTATGGATCTAATTAGTGGCGGAAATTTTAAAATCAAGTACCGTAAAATAAAATGAGTTGCAAACTTGTGAGTACACTTAGGAAAGAGTAACACAGAGTCCAAAAAAAAAATCAAATGCAAGTGAATCGGAACGAAAATAAAAATGAAGATGGCGCAACGCCGAGACCGGTTCGTATCCAAGTCGAACTTTTAAAAATAAACCGGCATTTTGTGAAGTATTTTGAGACAAAACACCGGATCAAGGTGCTTTTCATCCTCACCCTTTGCAACAGGCGTTTGGAATCAGAATTAACGATTTCGGTTCGATTCTGGGTCGGGAGCATCTATACCACCCGCCTATAAGTAGCCTTCTCAGTGACTTCAGCCAATTGACGCCTCGTAATCTTGTGATATTAACAGGGCGATTCTGGCTACTATCTTTCAACTCACCACGGTCTTTCGAAAGACAAAAGTCTACAAAAAATAATGGTCAATTCGGGAAAGCTCCTACCTGTCTTTCGAAAGACTAATTGAAAAATCTGCCAACGAGGAGGTCTCAGCATTATGCTGCTCGCCTTTTAGCAATAAGTTTTTTTTTAATTTTACTGAATTAAAAAAATTTATGTGTGTATGTATGTATTTTTTTTTCTTTTTTTAAACAATAAAAACTAAAACTAAAGAAAAACTATAATAAAATGAAATTAAAAATATGTTTTAAAAGTTAAATGAATTTAAAAGAATTATTATTCTTTTTATGACAATAAAATCTATAAGTTAAATTAAAAAAAGAAAAAATTTAATAAAAAGAGGGAACATTACTTGGAAAAAAAATTTAAAAATTTTATTTAATAATAAAAACAAAAAGTTAAACATTCTAAAAATAGAATTATTAGCAAAAACCAACAAAACCAACAACCACATGATCAAGTGAATTGCAGCGGAATAGCTGTGCTTGATTGTGTTGGCATAACAAAATGAAAAAGTGGAAAAAAGCAACGATAATTTACAAGGCGAACTTAGCACAGTGCATAGGCAACTGGCTGAGTCAGTGGGATCGTCGGTTCGAAGCCTACTGAAAGAAGTCTGATGAGGAAATGTGGTGATTTCCGAAATAGCTATCACTTCTACCATTTTTTTCACATTATTGTTGCTTTTCCACAATAAGTTTTTCATTAAAAACGGCCTCAAGCTCATTAAAAATTGTTGAAAATTAAAAAACATTTATTAAAAGAAGACAAAAAAATAAAGTAAGATTTAAAAAATGAAACCAAATAAAATATGTATTTTTCTCTATAAAACAACAAAATCTAAAAATTAAAAGAAAATGAAATTAAATAAAGAAACATTGATTAAATTAAAAGAAAAAACCTAACTCAAATAAGTTTCTAAAGATTAAATTAAATTAAAAAATGCCTTTCTTTAATAAACCATGCAGTCTAAAAATTTAAATAAAGTTTATATAAAAAAGAAAAAAATTAGTTCTTAAAAATTAAATGAAATTAAAAAAATTAAACAAATTTATAAAAAGTATATAAAAGAATAACAGCTAAAGGCAAAAAACAATTAAATTAAGAAAGAAAAAAATTTAAATTAGAATTAAAATATACATAAAATAAGAGTCAAAAATTAAACGAAATTAAAAATTATATATTTCTCTTTTTAAAGCAATGCAATCAAAAAACTAAAATAAAGTTAAATCAAGAAAGAAAAAGTTGAATGAAAACAAGTAATTTTTAAGCAAAAAACGAAACTGACTTCAATTCTCATATAAAAATTTAAGAGTACCGTTAATTTCTTCATGATCCAATGATCGGATCTAAACCAAATTAGTATGGGGCTCCCTCCAAGGTACCACCTTTCATTCAGAAAATTATAGAAATCGCTTGACGTGGTTCAAAGTTATGCGGTAACATACATAAAAAAAGATATGCCGACGAATAGATAACCTCCTCCTTTTCTCTGCTCCTTCGGCCATTGTGACTGTTGGAGCGAAGCGACCTAAATGATATACAAGTGCTTTCGCCCAAAATAAATTTTCACCACGAGTGGTGAATGAGAGCACTTTTTTTCTAAGACTTTTGAGCTAGAATAACAAAAGTCTTTCGAACTATCTTGCCATTTATCTTTGATTTGTCTTGCAAACGACTTTTTACTATCTTAGCCAGAATTGCCATGTAAACTTTCGAGAACCTGGGGCTGTATGAAAACTTATTAGAC